TTCGGGTATTTTCCTACGTCATTGTAGTTGTGCTTTTAAAGTTGTAGCAACATTTCGGCAGAATTTCATCTGCCATCATCAGGCTTCTGTATTGTGTTTGTCTGCGAGTCAGGCTTTCACAGCCTCAAATGTAAAACTGAAACGGCTGCGAAAGTCTGACTCACAGATGAACACAATACAGAAGCCTGATGATGGCAGATGAGATTCTGCCGAAACGTTGCTACAACTTTAAAAGCACAACTATAATGATGTGGGAAAATACCCGAAAAAGCTGAATACCATACATGTAAGTACCCGCGAAAACTTAAGAAAACACACACACACGCACAGACACATACATTCTCTTTCATTCTCCCTCCCTCCCCCCCTCTATATATACAAACACACACACACTCACACATATATAAATTGTATACATACATATACACACACATTATAAATATTCTGTTTGTGCTGTACAAAAATGTGTTTTCGGTTTTTTTCATGCTAATGAATATTTTAAGCAAAAATGGACTAGTAAATTCTTTAGAAATATTTTTCTGTAAAGAAGAAAAATGTAAAAATTGGTTTTTCATGTTTTTGTTTTAATTGTATTGACTGGGGGTAGAAACCTGTAACGGATGTGAAATGCTTTTTCTTCAAAGAGTTATCGAATTACCAATCTTACCAATAATAGTAGAAATAAGCTCCTTTAGAGTAAAAAAAACTTGTGTTGGAATCTTTGTCGATTCTTTTTTAAAAAATTGTGTATCAAAAATGTAAATTGGGCTTACAGTTACTTCTAATACAGCATGGAATTGACTCTGGGGGAGTGGTATTATATATAAAATGCCAGTGGCATGTTGTCTAGGTTTTCTCACTCACCTTATGATACTAATAATAATGCAGCATTTTGAAAATAATAGATAATAATGAGTACATTACAAACATTTAATTGATAAGAAAACTATTTTAAAAATAGTTCCAGGACACACAGATTAATGTTAATAGTTTTTAAATTAAGTTGTGGTATTGAGGAAACTCTTCAAGTCTTCAGTATTAATTTGCATGGGAAAGGCTCAATATTTCTGATACAAATCATAGAGAATGTTATTAACTATATTATTACAAATCATAAAGAATATTAACTATATTATTTACAACAGCATAATCTAAATTACTGTCTTCATGTATTGTGATATTTGGGAGTGGGGCCGACATAACAGATCCAGAGCCTACATATATTAAAATGAAAAGTATCAATAAAGGAGAAAATTTGTAGCTCAGGATTAAAATGAGGAGATGTCGATGCACTCTGAGCTTGGCTGTTTTTAAATCAAACTAGAATTAATGATATTACCTAGTTTAGGTAATGAAACATTTGCAAGAAAACGACCAAGCCCAGAGAGCACCAAGGACACCTCAAAATGAATAATCCTAGGTACAACAGAAATTTATTTTAAAATCAATGCGTATAATAACTTAGAAATACAAATAAATAATGTATTATGGCAAATCCCATGAACTTTCAATGGTTAGTCTATACAAAAAAGTAATTCATTATAAAGTTTCCCAATTGAATGATTATGATATGCCATCAATTAATCAGTTCTTAGCAACTACAAACGTATGCAAACATGTTTGAAGTAGGACAATTGAAACCTGGTGGATTACATTTTAAGTGAAATTCATTTAGGGTTTTTTTTAAAAATGCTAATATTCCTTAAAATGCTAATTCTGGAAGGCATTTTAATCCATTAGGCTACAGCTACAAATATCAAGACTGCCATTAAGTTGGCCCTGGCACTGCAGATCTATTAGATTCTTGAATTTTTTAAAAAAAATTTAACTGCCTGCTGAAGATGAATTTGAGCACCTACTAATTTTGATGGCAAGAGGCAATTCAATTCTTTCCTGGCATACATTTTGGGTATCTGTGAAAAAAGTAGTTAATGGCCATAATGATCTTTGTTTTGACATTGCACAGAAACTTTGCAGAAGGTTTGGTTCTTCCTTCCCATAGAGACTGTGACTGTGTTATTGATTTGGAACCAGGGATTAAACTTCCAACTAAGAGGCAATATACAATATCAGGAAAGGAACTGGTGATCTTAAAGCAATATCTGAGTTCCAATTTGGAAAAAGGATTTATTAGACTTCCAAAGTCACCAGCTACAACACTACCTTTTTTGTTCCTAAGAAACAAGAGGTGGATTTTCTGAACCTAAAAAGTGAGGTCCCCTTGTGTACAGTCCACCGTTACAAAGACAATAACAAGGTCACAATGAGGGATCATTACCTACTAGCTACCATATAAAATATGGTGGGAAGATTGCAAAATGTGAGTATATTAAGTTGGACCTCAGAAAATATGCAAATATGCAAATTCCTTGACCTTTCATTTGCAGTTGCCCCCATCCATTGAAGATCCATCCAGTTTTCCATTATTGCAGGTCAGAGAGGCTCCACCAAGACTTCTACAATTGCAACAGCCATTGCCCCCTCAAATGATTGTTCAAGGTGAAGAGGAATTCAAAGTCGAAGAAATATTGGACTGGAGGAAATGGGGTAAAGACATACAACATTTGATTCTACAGAAAAAAACTGATTTGAGTTGGAAGAATCATTTGCATTTTGATTGAGGGATTGCAGTGGGAATGTTCTAATAGAGATAGATGTTGCAAGGCTACATTCTTTTTTGTCTAAAACTGTTCCATTTATGTTAACACTGATTTTTCCCACAATTGGAAAGAGTAAAGGAATTGGGAGAGAATTTCAGAAATCACAGTGAGGTTACTCTAGATTCTGATTGAGAACATTATTAACATTTTTAAGACTATAGAAAAATAAGTTCCATTGATTATCAACATGATTTTGCACACTATCAAAGCTGACACGACCCAGAGCATAGAAAAACTCAAAGAATTAGTGGAAAATCAGAAGATGTGAAGAGACCTGACCTGAAGAATTGCCAAGAATCAAAACACGACTGAACAGAAAACATCATCATGATTTTGCAAATATAAATGCGTCTTTATTTTTCAGAATGAAACAAAACATGAGGAAAATGTTGGGAAAGTATCACAATGAATGCTACCAACTAATGTGTGGGGCTCTATAAAAGAAATCACTTGAAACTTTATTTATTTACACTGCCTTTTTTATTTCAATCTAATACACTTCCTATTTTCTCAAAAATGTTCATTATTCCTCCTCCTCCCTCCCCTTCTCCCTCCTCCTGCCCCATATTAATTATGATAGAATAATGGGAAGCAAATATTGAATTTATTTGAATTCTGGACTAACAATATCTTTGAGGGTGCATATTTGAATAGTAGTGGAAATGGAAAGTACCAGTCCTGTCACAAGCAATGTGGCTTTCACTTTTTGTGACCAATCTTTAATTTCTTAATATATTTATATTGTCTTCATTTCCCACTAGATGGTGCAATAATCACATGGACTACAAAACTACACAATAACTTTATTTGGAAGATTCTTTTTGTGGATATTTCGTATTAAAATAGAGGAAATTGCCATGGAATTATTGAGGCATTAGTAAAGATGTGTTGCTCAGTATCTACATTTCCATCTTAGATTTTAAATTGCTAGTTTTTTGTCTCATTTTCTGTGCTTTAAACAAGTCAGTAGAAATAGATTAAATATGTTTTTGCTTGTTAAATGAGAAAATTATTAAATATTGGGAAATGGGGCTTTGTTTCATTTTCTTATGTTTTGTTAGTAATGTGAATGTGTATCTGAAAACAATTCTTCTTTCATTCATCGTGCAAAGATCTATGAGTTAGTCCTATCCAATATGGGTTGAATCATCAATGAAATATTTTTGTGTAGCTGTTTAGTTTCTTCAAATTCCTGAAATCATAGATGCTTTCTATAATTAATACTATAACATTTATATCAATTGATTGCTGTATATTGATCATAACTAGTATCTGAAATCAATGTAATATTTTTTTAAAAATTGTATGAAAAATTAGTGGAAAAATATACAGGAGGCTATAACATGGCATGATTGAAAGCAAAATCTGCAAATAACCATTGTAGAAAAATGTGGTTGTATAGAGATAAAACACAGAAGTGATATGAAGGCTTCAAGTAGCCTGGATAGAGATTTTAAAAACCACTGCGATCTCCAGCAGAATGACAGATAACTATTTTGTTGCTTTGTTTTAGCTTAACACAAAGACTAAATGATAAAATACTTGTAATATAACTTGCAATGAATTCCAAAGAGACTGATGCCAGCAAAGGTTGTTGAGGTCACAGATACCCAGATGTTTGAAGATCTTTGCTTCTATATGACTAATTGTATGTGATAATCAATGAGGGATATTATTAACTTTTTTAATGAAATTGGATTGTACCAAATATAAGTTTTGATTTCATGCTTATGTTGTTCAATGATATTTTATCATTCCTGCCTATTTGAGGACAATCTTAAATAAAACTGTCTCCCTCCACATTTTTTTTAGCAGTGTACCTTTCTATCCCCAAATATTGGTGTTCTTTCTAGAGATAAAGGATTTATATATCTCTTTTCATTCAGTGAAGTGAGAATGTGAACAGTATGAAAGTTAAACATGTTACTATTACAGTATAGTGTTGCAGCTTTGAAAAATAAATGCAAAAGAGTACTTTGCTCTGAATACTACAGTGGAACTTCGGGTCACGAACGCTTCTGTTTGCGACCAAATCGGATGGTGAACAAAAAATTCACTGGATTTTTTAATTGGGCCATGATTCAAAAACCGAATGATGAACAAAATTGGCATGGAAAGATTCCCTTTCCGCACCAATTTTCCCATCAGCACCATTTGGGGGGGCTGTCCATGCATATACAGATGGTTATGCTTTCAGTCACGACCAAATCAGGTTGCGGCTGAAATCCTGGAACGGATTACTGTCATGACCCAAGGCTCCGTTGTATATGTGTTTGGTGTTCTGTAAGGAAGGGTATCAAAAGTTCATCTGATCTTTAGAAGCATCAGTGCAAAGAAATCTGTGGCTGCTAATCTGACTCCAAACCATATTTGGTCACTTTAATTGTAATATAGGCAAAGCATTTTTCTTTTGATTTTTTTTTAGTGTTCATACATTGTTACTGAAGTAGTTAAAAATTTCAATTTTATTTCGATTTTGCAAAAAAACAAAAAAACAACAAAGCAAATTTGTAGGTTCTTTATTTATTTATTTTTATTTATTTTTTGAGAACACAAGATCTCTCAGCAATTTCCAGGAGTGTTAGTCTTTATTTAGAAGCAGCCCAATGTTTTTACTTGAAGGAATCAATCATTCTCCTGATATTTGGTTTACAAGCATTTGGTTATTTAAAGTTATATTCCCAAATCAGAATTATATTGTCTCTGGGATATTTGCAATAAATGATATCATATATATGGTGGTATTATTTTTCTTTAAATAATGATGGTATATGTTCATGTTTATACTGATTGGCGACTGTGGAACCTTTTAAAAAGTGCAGCTAATTTTGGCAGGGGAGGACTGCCTTTTAATTAAACATCTATTTCTATAAATGTCCAAGGTAGGCTGTGCAAATGACTTAGGGCAATTGAGAAATGATGAAAATCTGATGAAAAGGATGGACATGCTTTTCAGTATATTGACTTGGTGTAGCGCTTTCCAATATAGGAAAATATACATTATTCCTAAAATCCCTTTCATTCTAGATGTAAATTTGATCAAAAGAGTCATGCAAATTTAAATAAATGATGAATAGATTGGGAATAATTAAAATTAAATTACTGTAATATTGGTGGTGGATAATTTTCTAATTTAATAGTAGATGTTTATGAATTTATTCTGTTGAAATAGGAAGTGTTTGGGTCATACTGAAAGTTTACATAGCCCAAAAGTTCTAACATGTCAGCTTTAAAACAGAATCTTTACTAGCACTTGTATCACTTAGGTTTTCTGATTCATTCATTTGAAGCAGTATTCAGAGACAACAAACATTGTAGATTTGACATGCAAAATTTCTCTATTTATCTTTCCTAATTTATGAAAGCTTACTGGAAAGAAGCAAGTAGTAATAAATATTTGCAAGGTAGTAATAAAGTAATAAAACCTTTTAATCGGGTAATAAAACCTAATTAGCTCTTTTGCATTTTATGAAACATGCAAGAGATTGTGACTTTGTAACTATGTGGGCTGAGAATTCTGGAACTGCAATCCCATCTATCTGAAGAAAGAGAGATACAAGACAGTATTCAGGATTTCTTGACTTCTGTGCAAGATCACTGGAGACTGTCAGTGTATAAGAGTTCATGAATTGGAATAGACATGGTAAAAGGTCAGTCAATGGGGACTGGTGACCCAGACAGCTTGGAGCCTGTGCGTGGCTTAGCTTGACTGATTTCTATGAGTTGCTTTGTCCTTGCAATATAGGCTCTGTAATATTTTACTTCTGTGATTATAATTTCTGTATTCTGAGCTCTGGCTCCGGCTTCTGCTGCATGGGTATTGTATACATGCATCATACTTTATATTATTGTATGTAAAGAAGTTTCTTCTATAAATGAACCCTGATTAATTATTTACTTCTGTGTGGTTAGATTGCTACAAACTCTTAACAGGTTATGGGCTCAGAGCACACCAACAGTAAGACTGAACTGTAATTAAGCTGAAGGACAGCCTGGGTTAAAAAGAAAAGAAAACAAGGCTGAGAAGGCTTGCGGGTTCAAGGAGAGCTCTCTGCCTCGATTGGGAAAGAATAATTATATCGTTTGGGCTGCAAAGTTTGAATGCTTCCTTCCTGAAGGCTAAGGAGCTCTGGGATATTGTTATTAATCCACCCCAGGCACCATTAGCAGCAGCAGATCAAAGGCAGCATGATACGGCACTGGCCTGAATCATTTTAAGTTTGGAAGATGAACAAAGTAGCTGATTTAAAAACTGCAAAGGAGGTTTGACTCCTTTGTGCATGTGAGTGTGTCAGCATGCAATATTGTGCAATTATCGAGACAATTGTACAGAGCCCAGCTGCAGCCACAAGCAGGTGTGGAGCAACATTTGCTGCACATGCAGACTTTATTGAATTGGAACAGTGTGGAATGCAAATTCCTGAATCTCAAAAGATGCTGTTGGTGTTAAATAGTCTTGATGAAATGTGGGACATGGTTTCAGCTATTTTTGAGTGCGAATCAGAACAGGACTTATGAATGGAAACCCTTAAAGTCTGTCTGATTTCTGAAGAAAGCAAATGCCATTTTAGAAAATGCCATGAGGATAAATTCCTGAGGTGATGGCTCAAGGACCAGAGAAAGAAAAGCAACAGGCTGGATGTTTGTAGAGACCAGAATAATAGAAGAGGTTGGATTACAGCCCAGCAAAGAACTTCTAAGAAGAAAGAAAAAGAATAGTGGTGTTTCAGCTGTGGTGATAAGAATCATTTGAAGAAAAACTGCAAGGAAGAAAAACAAGATGGACAAGGTGCTGTTGCAAAAGTTAGCTATTGTAATAGCAGAGACAAATGGTTTATAGATAGTGGGGCAAGTCAAACAATTATTAATAATTCAAAATTGTTTTTCAGAATGGATCCATCTGGAGGAGATGCAATAGCTTTGGCAAATGGCCAGAAGGCTAAAGTCACGAAAAAGAAAGTCTGCTGATTCCATGTCTGGATGAAAAGTTTAGTAACATATTATGTGTGCCTGAAATGGAGCATAATTTACTGAGTGTTTCTAGTCTAGACCAAAAAGGGTTTGAGACCATCTTTGTAAATGGGAGATGTCTCATAAAAAGGAATTGAAGTGTATGTGCATAGGGCATAAAACAGGATAATCTTTATGTGTTGCAGGGACAAAAGGTTCAATGTGCCCAAACATTTGGAAATGTGGCACAACATGATTCATGCATTCATCTTTTGCATAGAAAGCTTGGCCAGGCCAGCTTCAGAGTTTTGCAAAGGATGCAACGGTTTGCAGAAGGTCTAAACTTAAAAGGAGATAAGGCATACTTGGATTGTGCAGTATGTAAATCATCAAAGTCCAAGGTATTTCTAGAAAGCAAAAGTAGCACAAGGCAGGCAAGAATAGCTCTAGAGCTGGTACATGCAGATTTGGTGGGGCCAATGCAAGCCAGTTTGGGAGGAGCAAAATATGCATTGGTCATTGTAGATGACTACAGCAGGTTTGGTTTCTGCTGTTTACTGAAGGGTAAAATAGAGGTGCTACAGAAATTTAAGCAATGGGTAAGCTTCATAGAAAGGAGATATAAACAACAGGTATGTCAGCTGCAAACAGAGAGGTTCAGAATTCATGTCAAGAAAGCTTTCAACAGTGGGACAGTTATTAATAAAATACAGATACACAAATCTGAACGCAGCAGCTGAAAAAGGTATAGCTGAGAAGCGGAATGGAGTCTTACAAACCATGAAGGACTCACTGCTGGAGGATTCTGGTCTGGGCGGGTCATATAGGGATGAAGCCTTTTTAACTGCTAATTATTTAATCAATAGGCCTTGGAGTTCCTCTATTAATGGCATTCCATATACAGTGTTATATGGGAGAAAGCCATCACTGGCACATTTAAGGGTGGTTGGAAGCAATGCATGGGTGCATATTCCAAAAGCAATCAGGGGAAAAGGTCAACCAAAGGTTGACGGGCTACGAGCCTGGTTCAAAGAGCTGTCGCTTTAGCAATGGGAACAAAGGAATAACGATTTCAAGGTCTGCTAGCTTTGTAGAGCAAAATTTGAACAGAATTGATGCCAATTTTTCGAATGATCCACTGGGTGATCCACTTAGTGACAGTAACTCACTTAGTGATGGTGTCAGCACTTGTGGGGGGGACTGGAAAAAGAGTCAGGAGAAGATGACTCAGATATGAAGCCAGGGATGCTTGAAACACAAGAGCAGTCAATGCCACACGGGTCAGAGCAATGGAACAAAGGGATTCCACCTGACTGGTATTCTGCTTGTGAAGTAAAGGTGGTAATGTGTGGTATAAGACTAAAATTGAACAAGGGGAAAGAAGTCATGGACAAAGAATGAAATTCAGAGTGTTCACATCTATGACTTTGCCACAAGATTGCAAAGCCGTAGGATGTAAATGGGTATACAAAAAGATAGTACTACCCAACAATGAGGCATAATATAAGGCAAGATTAGTGACACAAGGATTTCACAGAGGAAAAATGTGCACTATGACGAGATATTTGCACCAATGATGAAGAGTGAAAGCATAAGGTTGGCAGAGGGGTGGGATTCTACTGGTTCCCACTGGTTCTATAAAACTGGATGTTAAGATTCTGCCCAGTTCGGAGAATCAGCAAATCGTGCCCCTAGCTGGCCCAACTCCTTCCCCTCCTGGCCATTTGCCTCTGATGAGGCTAAAGATATGTTGCTGGAGCTCCTGGGCTTTAACCTGGAGCAAGAATCCTTTTCTCTCCTCCCCTCCCCCCCCATCTATCCCATTTGGAAGATCTTGAGTTAGTTTTGC